AAAAGCGCTCTGTACGCCGTAAAAGTCGAGGCAGCCCAGCAAGCAACTCGTAGAGATAGCTACCCAGTCAGAGCTGTGCGAGTCCACGAGCCAGTGGATCAATTGATGGCTCGTTTAGATGATTTATCCAGACAAGTCGATGCTTTGATACGGAGTAGCAATGAGAACAAAGTAGCTGTAAGGTGTTGGAGATGTGGTTCTGAAGGTCACCTACGACGGCATTGCAGAACACCCCAGGGCACGGATAATAAAACGGATGAGTTGACAAGACCTATGAATGCATTAAGACGGAATAGTGGTGAAAAGAAACCGACCCTGAAGTGCTGGAATTGCGGTGTTGAAGGCCACCTACGAAGGAACTGCAGAACACCCCAGAGCACGGAAAATAAGGCATACGGTTTAAACAGACAATTAAATGCCACGGGAAGGAAAAGGACTGACAAGAAACCAAAGTGCTGGAACTGTGGAACTGAAGTCCACGTACGAAAGAATTGCAGAACACCCCAGGGTACGAAAATTGAGACCATTTCCCAGCAACGACGGAGGAAACAAATGAATGACCATATCGAGAAACGGAGGTTGCCAGAGAATGAAAAACCTTGTTTTAAAGCGCTCAAGATTTCTACAGTGAGTGGCAACAGTAACGGACTGTCCATCAATGGGTACATCGATAGAGTTCCCTGCAATATGATCATTGACACAGGAGCTAATGTTACCATCATTCGGAGAGATTTAGCTCAACAGTTTAAAGATAAACTTATTTGAACGCCATCCTTTGTCACTCTTCAGACTGCGTCTGGTGATAAGATCGACATAGCTGGGAAGTTAAACGTGAGCATCACGTTCGGAAGTGCCGCCTACCATCACACGGCATATGTGGCGGATATTACAGATCAATGCATACTCGGACTGGACTTTTTAAGGAAATACAATTTTTCCTTAGACTTAAAAAGCAACAAACTGCTTTCAGCATCTGATCACATGACTATCCATCCTCAACAGGGATCCTCGCCTGGAAAGGCGGGAAGCTGCCGAAATCATACTAGGGTAGAAAGGAAACGCAAGACTACCAGCTATTCTCCATCTCAGAAGCTCTTCGGTCGAGACCTTCGTCTGCCTTGTGACCGCCTGTTTGATCGCCAAACGGATGCGCCTTCATCGCCTGAGGAATACATCCAAGATGTCCAGGCCCGTTTTGAAGCGATGCACCGTTCCGTACGAAAGCGAGTCAACCTGGCGACGGAGAAAGTGAAGTCCAGAAACAACACGAGAGCTATTAGACATAGATCCAACAAAGGAGACAAGGTGTGGTTGTGGAACCCGATTCAACGAAAAGGACTCAGTCCTAAATTACAGTCACCTTCGGATGGTCCATATAACAGTGCCTGAAACAGACTGAATGACGTCGTGGTTCGGATCCGTAAGTCTTCGAATTCTAAACCTAGAGTCGTTCATTGCGACAGGTTAGCTCATTACTATGGCCATAGTACGTAATGTAAATAATTGTAAATAGTATAAGACCATGGTCCTTTTTGTTTTTAAATGTGTATTTGATTTGATTTGTATTTAGTATTTGATTTGCATTTAGTATTTAATTTGTATTTGATAGCATTTGATTAATTTTATTTATTGCATTTATTGTTCATGTTGTTTGATATTGTAATGTAATGTTTATGCCTCACTTGCATTTATGCCTCAGTTGTAAGTTTGGCTTCCTGTTCAGGGATTGTATTGCCCCGGACGTGCAGTCCTTGGGAAGGGGGCAGTGTTACGAATTTGGTATTTAAAAAGCTAATGTTAGTTCAATTATAAATTAAATGGTTTTATTTCTCGCGCAGTGCAGCGCGTGACGAATATTAAAAGAAAGCTAAGCCGGAAAATTGAAAAATACAAGAGCGCGTGCATTAAATAAATAAATATCTCTTTTTGATTTCGAGAAAGTACTGGAAAATTCTAGCGCGTGATTTTAAAATCTTATAAAAGGAGGAAAACATCTCAGTTTGTAGTAGTTGCTTAGTTTGTTGTTGTTTAGAAAACTGCTCTTGTTGATTGTAGCGAATTCGCGGATTAGCGTTCTTTAGCTGTTTTGAATTACGTTCTATTGGATATTTGAGTAGTTAAAAGATAACTACTGTGAGATATTGTAATACTGCATGATAATTTGAGAAAATTTAAGCATTTTTGTTGTGATAATAATAAATTTTTGTTCATTTTTCATCGGACTTGTGCATTCATTTCGTAACGAACCCGTACGCACGCAACAATGTTCTAGGCTTGTAAATAAACTGTTTAAACAGTTAAATTTGCGCCCTCTTTATCTTATAATTATGATGGTTAATGAGACCCATCTTCAGCCATCCGATAAACTAAAATTCCCAGGCTATAATATTATTCGCAATGATAAACTTCACACCCGTGGAAGGGAAGCAGCCAAAATTATCAAAAATACCATCAAGTTTACTCCTTATTCACTCCCACTTACATCAGATCTCGAAGCTACTGCTGCAATTATTTATACAACATTAAAAAGAACAATATCTCGTCATTTAAATTTATAATATCCCATCTTATCTAATTATTCAGCGCGATTTTAATAATATTACCTGTTCTTTCCTCCCAGCTCTTATTGCAGGTGACCTCAACACTAAAATCTGAATTTGGAACTCAAAAATCATTAATACAAATGGAAATATTCCGAAATATTCTGCTATTCGCAGTATAATAAAAATTACTGGTTCTTCAACTCATGCAAGATATCATATTAATGAAAATTGTGAAATTCTTGACATTCTTTTTCTAAAAAATATTACTCGCCTGGAAGTCAAGGATGCCTTACTTCTGATCATTTGCCTGTTCTATGTCCTTTCTATGGCATATATTTATCCAATGTCACTCAATGCAAAAGAATCAATTCGATGACATTCAAAAGATGCGTTTCAAAGATGTTGCGTGCGTACAAGTTCGTAATAGATTGAATGCACAAGTCCAATAAAAGGTTAATAAAATTTATTCTTATCAAAAGAAATATAACAGAACGCTGGAATTCTCCTCAGAGATATTCGTACAAGCGTTTACAATATCAGGCAGTAATAATTAGTAAACCGCAAATACCTTAAATAGAACGCAATTCAACCAGTAGCTATACTTTAAACCACTAAAAACGTCAAAATACATCGCAGTTCAAGGAGAAAGAAAAAGCTAACTCGCATATCTCAGTTCGCGCGGAACTAAACAAATCGCATTAACAGCAACTAACTAAACAACTGAGCTGAGATGTTCTTTCTCTGGCTTTCAATCGGTCGCTCGAGATATTTCTAGCATTTTCTGCTTCTCTAGATTTCTGGAAACCAATAAGAGGATGGAATTACAGTTACAGTTAACATAGTAATCAATTACATTTATTCAATTTAAATGTATATTACGAGATATCTATTTATTAAATGTTAAATGCCACGTGCTCCTATAGTTTTACTTTTCTGACGTAGCTTTCTCTTAAAATACGTCTCGTGCTGCATTGCACGGGAGAATAAGACAATTTTAATTGTAATTCTACTAAAAATATCTAACTAAATACAAAATTCATAACAATATTAATCGCCTGGATGTCAAAGATGCCTTACTTCTGATCACCTGCCCGTTCTATTTACTTTCTATCTCATGTATATCTACTCAATGCAATTCAACGCAAAACAATCAATTGGATGAAATTAAAAGATATTTTATCTCCTCTATTAACTTATACTAATGCAAATCTCTCCATAATATCGCAGATATTGAATACGCAATTACCTCCGTCAATCATAAAATTCAAGATGCAGTTATTCAGTTCTCAACAACTATTCGATCGACTTCTCATACTTCACTGCCTGCTCAGATTCTGGAAAACATTAAGAAAAAAAATCGCCTTTTTAGACGCGAATAGTTCCAACAGACCCAATTATTAAACGTCAATTTAATGCTAAACGACACGGGATTCCTTTCTAATTACAGAGTGTAGTTTTGATCAACAGGATAAATTAATAAACAGCATGAAAATTCAAACAGATGCAGTCTGGAAAATAGTTAAATCTCTTCCCTCTGACAAAATTCATTGGACAGATACTACATAGCAGTTTGCTTGCCCAGTAAAACTCCGAGACTGCTAAAATAGTTTCAGATGTACTTGAAAATTCCTTCACTCCTAAACTGAGAGTCACGAAGAGAAACATCTCGATGCTTTATCTTATATACTCAAGCACTTCTTGCCAAAATTATGCCAACCAATATACACTGCCCGGCATAGAAATGAAACAGCATAAAAGATTTGGTAGAATGTCAACTAATGCATATTTAAATAAGTGATGTTATTTATTGAAAGATAAATCTATGCAGTGCTGAACTATACAGGGAATCATTAAGATGTATGACCGCATTTCGCGGCCATGCAAGCTGCAACTCTACGAGGCACAGTTTCAGTTAGCATGTGGATAGTATCTTAATCGATGAAAGCCTATATTCTCTGAAACCTCCTCTAAAGTTCGTCCTTCGATAACGGTTGGGGCAAAACAGACAAACGCTGATCAATTACGTTGGCATAGCATTTACCACCTAGAATATACCGTTTTGCAGTTTCTGAACGTAAGGTAGCATAACCAGCTGCAGTGTATCAATTTATCAGTCATGCATCAAAAATGTTTGTCAGAAAGAATAAAGAAATACTAAAATCGGCTGTGACTACAGCTACTTCTTTAACCTGTAGTCACAGTCACATGCTTTCAACATCCAAATTGTTTTATATATTATGTATTCTAAATTTATCATTACTATTTTCAAGCAAAATATATAATTAAATATTTCTTTTTCTTTTTTTTTTTTTTTTTTTTTCAAAATGGTGGAATTACTTGTTTTCATTCATATAAGCAATGCTATCAGTTATCATATATCAACAATGAGCCAAAAATCGGTAGAAAAAAGTCTGTTCTCAGTCTTGGTATTACCTAAAGGCAGTAATAATAACTTACCGCATCTCAAACGCGGGTATAAATCGATACATATATATATGCCCATAGGTTTTCAACTCTTTTGCAAACTCTGGGGCAAGTTCATGATGAAGGTGGCTTGGAAAATACCTGAGATTATTCTGGAGAGCCAACTGAAAAGAATAAAATGTCGTATATTATTATATATTTTTTGGTTTTTATATATTGCTTATATTTTGAAATAATTCACCCATCAACGTTATTAATCTAATAAATTTTCAATTCAAATTGGTTATACTTGTTCTCGCATCAAAACTCAGCTGTCAACTAACTATAGCAATATTTTATAGTATATGCATATGCGCATAAAAATTACAATTATAATCCAAGACTAAACAACAATTGCATTTTATAGAAAATACAAAATATCTGGTGTTGACGAACATTAAAAAAATTTAATACAAACAAAGATAAATACTATGCGGTTTATTCAGTTATAAAGAATTATTATGAAACTTTTTATGTAATTTATGAGACCACATGTATCACTGAGCAACTTAAGTCACAATCAGATGTTTCCTTGAGCATTGCATATTCGCAAAAAGTTAGCTTCTTTAGTTAATGACATTAATTCCAATATGGAGCTTCCTAATGCTTTTAGAATTCCAGTACCTTAATTTTTCATGCTTCATTGCTGTTTCCTCTAAAAATAACGCTACGTTTGTCTTCGCTTGCTCTGCCCATTGTTTTGATATAAATACAGTCGCTCTTATAGTGACTCTGGATTAAAATGACCTCTCCCGAAATATTTACAACTTGACACATCTTCTAAACCTTAAAACTGTGTTCAGATTCTATCTTGGCCTCGTAGGGTAAGTGCAGTGTTTCAAGTGCCAAGGTTTCTATCATTTGCAGTCTCACTGCCATCACGGGCAAGCTGCGTCAAATGTGGCGAAAGGCACTTTACTCACGAATGGACGAAGCCGAAGGATGTCCCTCCGATGTATGTCAACTGCTTTCGACCCTGCGAACCCAGCCGAGCCTGCCCAAGATATCCTCACAGAAGCTAAGAATGTGCTTCAGGATCTACAAACACTCCTTGCTTTCATAAAACAATGAAGACTTTCTGAGCTCGTGAACATCATATCTGAAAAGTGGTGTGCGACAACGTCTGCAACAGCGCAATGCTAAAATTTTCTCACTACTGAAAATGCATCAGTACATTTTGTAATTATTTGTACATAAGACTTTATTTAAAATAAAGTAATTAAAATTAAAAAGCTTATGACTTGCGCTAAAGCTGCAAAGTAATAAACCAATAATTTATAATGCGAAAACTTTCCATATACCATCTCCAAGGAACTTAAATTCAATTAAAACCATGAATGAAGAAAAAAAAATTTAGTCAGAAGTTAAATTAATATTTTAAAAAGTAATTTCAATCTCATGTTTAAAAACTCTGCTAAGAAAAATCTTTAACCGCAAAAAAAAAAAAAAAAAAAAAAAAAAAAAAAATCAAAACCAATAGTAAATTTTAAGTATTGAAAAAGTAGCCATTGTCATTGATTGCAGATTAATCGACTTATCAAGGGGATAAACCAATCTACTATCAATTAACAACAACTAAATTAATAGAGAGTGTTTCATCTTACTTCCAAGTAAGCATCAAATTATTTGCTAGATCCAAACAATAACTCACAATTAGTACCCAATCCAAATTAAGACGTTAGTCCATATAAGCCAGAAGAATCTTGTCTAAGGTGACCACATTTTCATTGACACAAGTGAAAATATCGGGACAAATGGAATGAAATGAGAATTATAATTTAGTTATGAAAGCAGACCAAAAATTTAAAAAAATATATATTTTATTATATACATTCATATACTTGCCTATAAATATACAAAAATATATTTATTATTAATTATTGGTAACTATAAAATATTTGTAAGAAAAACAATAATTTGAAATATTATGTTTTTTAATTAATTTAATAATTTTAATTTTAAAAAATTATGATTTTCTTTCACGGTTATATTTTTTATCCAAGTGAATGATCAAATTATATTTTAATCTTAATACAGATTTTAAAGTTTTAATCTTCAACTGCGTTTTTTTTTTCAATTGTCCGTATTTTATTGATACTAAAAAAAAAACACGCTCTGTTGCTGCATTTGTTCCTTCAAGGGAGGGCGTGTGTTCTACAATTTTCAAAATATTATCATAGGAAATATTATTCTGTTTAAAATGAAGAAATAACCCCGTCCATTTTTCGTCTGTTTCCACATTTGCAGACAACCACCATCATCAGTTTTTTTCGTCAGTAAAATATCTTTTTACCAATGACACCTCATCAAGAAGATCCTTTTCGCAAATATTTTTTTTTAATGGTTTCTTATATATTTAAAAGTTTTTCCACATATTTCCATAAAATTTCCTTTCTTAATGTCATCCAATGAAAGTTTTTAATATCCTCGAATTAAACTGTCCGTTTTTGAAGATATTCCAAGCAGTTATTATAAAAATTTCTGATTTTTTTCAGAAACTCAGATCGTTTAATATGGCACCTTGTTCTTCCAACCTAGTGATGGCCAACCAGCGGCCGAGCGGTAAAGTCGCTGAACACTGGTAGTTCGGTTTGAGGTTCGAATCCGCGAACGGGCTGGCTGCATGGGTGTTTTCGTGGTTTTCCCCAAGTGTAACGTGTATACGAGCCAGTTTCCCTTAAAAAGTCCTCCACGAAGGCATCCCTCCCCTTAGGCAGATAGCCCTAGTGTGGTTTGCCATAATTAAATACACCAACACCAACCTAGTGATGTCCTGTCGAATAACTAAGGGAACATAATCGTTATCAATTCTTTCTCGAAATTTTGTTTTTAAATTATTGATTTCATTTGGCACTTCCGTAATTGAAATTTTGTCCCCTTCAATAATTTTTACAGCATTGTGAAATAATGTAGCTTGGTTGTGGATGAACAGAAGACAAATTTGTGAAGTGTTATTTTCAAAAAACAGCTGCAATATTCTCGGACATTTATTTATCTTGTGATAAAATGTGTGATTTTAATGCTTCGTATATTTTTTAAATATTTTCTACAGCTGGTAAAAGAGCTAGCCATCGTGTTTTGCTGTAACCAATAATTATTTTATATTTGATTTATGCGCTTTCACAAAAATCCTTCAAACTTCGACACGCACAGTATATATATATATAAAACGAATAAATTTTTGCAATAATATTTTCAACATTTACTGGAAGTAAGTCAGATACTGTTTGAATAGTATTGTGTAAATTGTGCGCTGCACAACCTGCTCGAATAATGTTTTGGTTCAATCGTTCGTTAAGTTTCGTAAAAACGTTATTGATGCCTCTTCTAGCTTTTCCATCAAAATTTGCGTTAGTGTCAACAATAAAATTATTGCCTCAGAATAGGCAATAATTTTATTGTTCAAATTATTCTTCTTTAAAATAGTACTTATTGAATCGAAAATTATTTATGAAGTTTGACGCGGCAGCGCCCAGACGATATAGTGTCTAGGGAAGCCTGACTGCAATACCAAAGGGCCTGGGTTCTAATCCTGGAAAAGGCATGGTTGTAAAGAGGTTATCACACATGGCTACAATCCCTGCTAGACGGGATTTTTCTGAGAAACGAGATTCTGGTAGCACTGGTTTAAACGGGAGGTTTGGTTTGGTTTATTGAGATTACGGCAAAGCACACTAGGGCTATCTGCCTAAGGGAAGGGATGCCTTCGTGGAGGACTTTCTAAGGGAAACTGGCTCGTATACACGTTACACATGGGGAAAACCACGAAAACGCCATGCAGCCAGCCCGTTCGCGGGATTCAAACCTCGGACCGAACTACCAGTGTTCAGCGACTTTACCGCTCGGCCGCTGGTGGACGGGAGGATTCTTACAGAAAAAGAGTCCAGCCTGAAGTGAAGTCCCACCTAGATACGGAAGCAATGTTGCGGCTACGCGGGATTTTTTTCAAACCTCACCGAAAATGTCTCGGGTTCCGGGTAGAGACAACCAATCAGACGAAAGTTCTGCTTCTGAAGGATCACGTGATCCCGATTTGAGCGATAATCGATTACTGTTTGGCATTCAAGTCTTTGTAGTAAGTGAGAATGGTAACCTAGCTACGTGGGTTTCCTGAAACTGTGCGGGTTCTTAGAATTGTCCCTTTCGTCGTCAAGTCCCGCGTAGCCGAAACATAATGTGATTGGGACTTTACTGTCCGTCCCTTCATAGGAGGCAATGGTAGCCCACCTATTAGATGTCTCATAATAAAGAGACCAGCACATCTGGCCTTAGTATAGATTAATGGACTCTGTTACAAAACTGTAACTGTTCACAATCTGCCACTGGAAAAAAAAGTTTCACCCAGCAATGAAATAAAATCTAATATTCTAACTTTAATTCCTGTTTCTGGATCAAAAAGTCTAACAATTGTGGGAATAATTTTAAATCTCTGTGGTTGGAAGCATCGTAATATATTGATATAAATGTGGATTTATCTAATTCTTTCTGCAATTATGAAAACGAATATGGTGAAAAAACATTACAAATAATTGCTTCGGTTTTTATCCTTGCACGTGCAAATTTTTTGTCCTACGATGTTTTGATTATTTGCGACGTACAGTCAATTGATCTGAAGCTTTGACTGTGGTTTATGGTGTGGAAAGCAAATAGTCCTTCAGCTAATGCTAGCTGGTTCTCCGTTGCTTGTTACATCGCCTAATTTAGTTAACTCTGCATGCATTTTATGTGTTTTTTTTATTTCTTTATATTCACTATAATAAATAATAGGTAATGTATTTTTACAGTACACTTAAAATAAGAAATCCAGATGTTTTCTTAAAAGCATTACATTTTTAAAACTCGGCGGGACGCGGGACAGTTCTCCAAAAAAGCAGGACTGACCCGCCAAAATCGGGACATGTGGTCACTTTAATCTTGTTAAACAAAATAGCAAATAATCTTGAAAGTTTCTCATTAAGAACACAATTAATCTGAAAGAGATGCTTACTTTAGAAGACATATCCCCTACACTCTCATTTTCAAACTCAAAAACAGAAGTAAACATATAGAACATTAAAAGTTAATTCAAAATCATAAGAAAATCAAAAAAATAAAGTTTACAACAAGTAGTTAATTAGAAATTTAA